CATATTCGGATAGTTGAGATGACAACTGATCTCTGATGTTATGCCGCGCATGGTGCGAGGCACCCCAGGCCCCAAAACAGTCATGAGGAAATGCGATGCGTCGGTCGCATACAGACGCCGTCTCACGACGCAGAAAGGATAGACACTCATTCCACATTAAACTACTGGCGGGCGACCTGCCAGGGCGCATTCATGCCCGATTGCCAATGTATTGCATAGGATGAAACCGATATGGAAAACAGCGTAACGTCGCATCTAACAGATCGAATATAACAAGTTGCGATACGCGTCAAGATACACGCGATTAATAAGCACAGTGGTATCAACTCACTCCATAATCTACAGACATACAACAAGCAATATAATACGCAGGACAACAATGCGAATCAAAACGCGCGTCTAGCATGATTCGTGATAGCGTTCGTGCCAGACACGATATCCATAGTAGTTGAAAAGACTGATAGTGATGGTCCTTGAGTTATCATATGACCATATGTATTCGTAACCGTTCCCGTCGACAGAAATCCATTGGTGCAGGAAGTGCGATCAGCGTCGATATGCATCGCGCTGGCAATGCCGGAGGTCACGGCGCCACCATGTGTAGATGTTGCGGCGCTCGCTCGCGGCGCCCCTGCTGCGGCCGCGCTCTTCGGCGCTGTCGGGCGCCCGCCTCGGCGGCGCGACGGGGCGGCGCGAGCTCGATGGGGGGCCGGCGCCGCCAGTCCAGCCAGCGGCGTCGGCCCAGGCAGCGCCGCCAGGGGCAGAGGTGGCGGCGGGGCCATCGCGGCGCGGAGGTGGAGGGGCAAGGGCGAAGCGAGCGGGTTCAACGTGGCCAACCGAAAAGTCACTTCTGTCACCCATCGTGGCACCTTTGGTGACCTGCTGGCGTAGCTCAGTCAGCGCGGCCCGATTCATCTGACCTTGACCTCTCCCAGAGGGAGCTGAGGAAGTCACGGATCCGCGGTCGAGGCGTTCGCCGCGACTGAGCGCGCCGAGAGCCAGTGCCCGCCGGCCCGCGTAGCCTGTCTGCACGCTGACGCGGTGCAGTCGCATGCCCCCACGCATAGCTTCCAACGTGAACGGCCGCCACCGCTCCAGAACCATGGCTTCAGTCATCTACTCTGCAAGATTACCCCCATGGCCGTGCGTTAGTGCTGCGGCGCGCATGTGTTGCGCGCTTTCATGCGCTGTGTATATCGCGATCTGGCCCGCCACGAACCAGTCTTGACCGACGCGAAGTCGGCCTCGGCGTTCCAAGTGCAAACGGAGAAGGAGCGGGGGGGGAACACGGGGGAAACAGGACGGCGAGGGGAAACCTGTTCTGTAGCGCATTCTGCCTCAGCGCGAAGAAGGGCGGCGCAATAAGACCGCACCTGCCTGGTCCACCGATGGGACGCGCCCCTGGATGTCGAACTCCAGGAACAAATCTCGATCGCGCGCGATGGAGACCGAATTTTTGTCGTGGACCAGCACTTCGACCGCGAGCTACAAGGTCGCGTGGGCCTCGAGGGGCGCAGGCTGGCACGCCGAGCCCCAAGCTCCCGACCTCGCGCTCGCGGCCGTCCGGGGCGAGCACCCCGCTGAGACCAGCGCGGGCGCGGCCCAAGAATGCACGGGGCTGGCGGCGCTGAAATCGAGGTCGCGCCGAAGACGCAGAGCGAGGGGCGCGGCGGGATGGGCGGGGGGTCGGGGGTGCTCCAGGCGTCGCCGCACCTGGAACAATTACTTAAACGAGAACTGGCAGCGCCCGCAGTCTCGAACAACGGCGTGATTTTTTCGAGAGATCGAATGCGCGGACGAAGATTCTCGGCTGATCAGCCGCGCTAGCTAACGCGGAAACGAACGCGGCGCCTACGTCCCGCAGGTCCTGGAGCAGAAGCGGCCTGGGGAATCCAAGGAGCAGCCGCTTGCAAGCGTCGCGCTGCTGCTTCTGGACGTTCCCTGCGACGCGGCGCCCCCCCCCCCCCCCCCCATGGAAAGCGGGCCCGCGACCGAGGCTGCAGACGGCGGCGCAGGCGGCGAGGCGCGGGCGCATATCTGGGCTTCAGCGACGCTCTGCCGATCGGCGAGGCCCCGAAGTTGACGCGCTACAGATGCGCAGCTTCCCTCTAGAACGGGGGGGGGGGGGGGCTGCCCATCGATGTCCACGCTCTGCGAAGGGGGGGGGGGTGCGGGGGGGGGGGGGGGGCGCCTGAAACTGGGAGTGGGTCGCCGAGATCTGGGACTGAACGGCGCTGATATTCTCGCCCACCACGGCTGCGACGGCTGCAGTGACGGACTCTTGGTTCTCCGCCTCGATGATGACCGTCCTCTCATTCGTGGAACGAACGTGGCTGTCGCGCACTTCCATGGTCGCGCGCGTCGCCGATACCTCTGCTCGAGGTTCTCCTCGGAAGTGGCAAACGCACTGTTAAAAGTGAGGCGGACGGTCTGGGCGATCTCGGACATCCGCGATGGCGCACGGGAAGGCGGTGGCGAGCTCGCGCGACCATTGCGGTTGCGGCTGTCGCCGTCGCCCCTGCTATCGACGCGGTGATCAGGGGCGCGGGGGGGTTGGCGATGTGCCGAAGCGGGGCTCGCACTGCGCGACGGACTGCTCGAGCTGTTCGCACCGCGGCGGCCGGGCTTCTTCCCGGCATCACGACGACCCATCGGAGCGGCCAGTCCACTGGGGTACTGCGGGGAATGGTGGGATACAACTGAGGCACAATACGCGAACGAAGCGTACTTTGGCGGCGCACGGCACGGGGCTGATGCCGGACCGCGAATGGGACGCTTTGGGCGACCCCTTGGCAACGCCCAAGCTCGAAACGCCAGGGGCGCACGCTTCGAACTTGAACCGCAATATTTGTAAGATGATGAGAAGGTGAATCATTCAGGGAAGCTCTGGTGGAGGAGGCCCGTGTCTTTCGCTGGCCCCTGCGACTCGTGCCGACGTCTCCCGTCTGCCCCATCGCCAAGCCTCGAGCAGGAGGGTTTTTTGTTCGGGTGTGTCCCAGCCTTCGTCCTTTTCTCTCGGCCTGCCCCTCCCTCCCTCCCGCCTCTCTCACCTCCAGGTCTGGTTGGCCCTGTGCGCTCGCTGGAGGCGCGGCCGAGCGCCAGGTTCTCTAGGTGCAAGCCGCCGCTCTAGGACAACCGCGCCAAGCCGTGAAGGAAGATGTTTTGAGCGGTGTGAGCCTTCACTAGCCTCTGCGCTTCGGGACGACGCGCCCCGTGCTTTCGTCGCGGAAGTTTCGAATGGTTGGCGCCCGTGCCCGAATGTCCACACCAGTGATTTCTTCAATGAGCGCCTCCCGTGTACTTTTCGTTTGGGATCCAGCTCTGGCCCCAGCTTCTTTCTGCCAGTGGTGTGCCGTCGGTATACTGACCAGCCAGTGGTCGAAGCAAATGTGCAATCCGAAAAATACTCCTTTTGCTTCTCCAGGGCCCCCCGCCCCTTTCGGCTACACGCAGCTGCGACCCTGGGGAAGAGTGAGCCTTAGGGGGGGCGCTTGGGGGCACCACCAGGCGCGAAAGCCGCTGCTATTGTATCGCAGCCAGCGGTCGGGGGGCCACATTGGCCCAGTATCAAAGGTCACTCCAGCAAAAGGTCACTCTTACGTGTACTGTCGAGTTTGATGAGTACGTCGGCGCTGCCAAATCAAGGGTGCTTTGTGTCCAAAACTACGTGGTCGCGTCCAGTGTCCGCCACATTCCTGGGGCAGCGCGGCTCTCGCCTGGGCCCAGGGCCCTCTCGCGCGTCCTCTTTCCAAGCAAACTCTTGACCGTACCCGACCCTTCCCAGACCCAGACCGCTCGCGTCGTGATTTCGCCACGACGCCGACCTCATGAGGTCTGGACCCTTTCCCCGGGACCGGTTTTTCATTCTGAATTGTTTGTTTACCGTCCCGAGGCTCGGTTACAAGGCCCTTGGAGGCCGAAAATCCGCTGGCCCCCTTGCGGGGCCACCAGGCTGCGAGGGTGAGGATTGCAGCTCCCTGTTGCAGTTGCAGTTTCTTGCTTCCACTGTTACAGATTGTTGCTGACCGCGCGAGTGGGGGGAGCTCCAAACCCGTTATATATATATATATATATATATATATATATATATATATATAAGAAATGCCAACAATCAAAAAAAACGCCCAGATCGCGCTGTCTGAATTCATGGGGGGGCGCGGGACACGTAACAATACCTGATACTCGCGCCCCCGAGGCCATAATCCGTTTTTCATTACTCCAAATTCGCGTCCCCGAGGCCATCAACCCGAGCACATTTCGCAATACTCGCGTCACCACAGCCATAATCCTTTACAAATAGAACAATATTCGCGTCCCCGAATCCATACAAGCCTTTTGCAAAATACATTATATTCGCGCCCCCGGGAAGGAACACCCATGTAAGTAAATTACTGAATACTCGCGCCCCCGAAACCACGAACATTGGAACATTGAGTCAGATTCGCGTGTCTAAGGCTACAAACCCTCGAAAATTACACCATGCTTGCGTCGCCGAAGCCACGAACCCTTACAGATTACACGGCCCTCGCGCCCCCGAGGACACAAACGCACGTAAATTACGCAATGCCTGCGCCCCCGAAGCCATGAACCTTCGCAACAGTGACGTCCCCGAGACAACAAACCCGCGTAATTTACGCAGTCGTCGCGTCCCCGAAGCCACAAGCCATAGCAAATGACCTGATAGTCGCGCCACAGAAGCCATACACCCTCGTAAATGAATATTGGCCCTCGCGTGAAGTCCCGACATTGCTTCACGTCCGCGCCCAGGCATCCCAAGCCAGCTCTGGCAAGTCCCATTCTAAGAGAGGGGAGCCGGCGGCATGGGGCGAAACCCTTCTACGGATAGGGGAAAACCTGCCGTCGCGATCTGTTCGCAGTGCGAGGGGGTCTGGGAAAGGGGCTGTCCTCCACCCGGGGCGTCTTCTGATGGGCCCCCCGGGGGCGGGGCCGAGGCGCCGAGGCGGAGCGGTGTGGGCGACGAGCCGCGGGCACAAAAGGGCGCCCGGGGGCGAGGGCGGCGCCCGGCGTGCACGTGCCCGTGGGCCGGCACATGCCCCAGAAGTCGTCCTTGATGGGGCGGCCAGGATGGGGGGGCGGGAGTGGGGGGGAAAAGGCGGCGGGGGGGGGATGAGGGGAGAGGAGGTGGGGGAGGGGATGAAGGGGGTGGGAGGGGGGAGGGTGGGGGTGATGAGGGGTGGGGGGGAAGGGGATGAGGGCAAGCGAGGTGCGCTCGCGTCATATCTGACGCCCCACCCCTGCCTCCCATCCTTTACCATGGCGTAAAGTTTTCCTATTCGCACAGTCGGATGCCGAGCAGGGCTATGGTCGCGAGAGGGCACGCGATGCATGGTAGAGCACGGCATGGCATGGCGTAGCAGAGTGCGGCTGAACGTAGCATGCCACAGCATGGCGTGGCATTGCGCAGTGAAGCATTGCATCACAACACAGTGCAACGCAAATCATGGCATCGCACAGCGGCGCAGGACACAACACCGTACAGCATGTCATGGCATGGCGCCAGGTTCTTTGGAGGGTAAGTGGATCGTCTTCGAGAGATCTGGGCCTGTCTGGAGTCGTGGTTCCATGTCTAGCTCCTTGGACTCCCCGAAAAAGCTCCACACAAGGCGGGGCTGATCGAGAGCACCCGCTGGCTCTGCTTCCAACATCGCCTTCTCAATGCCAAAACGGGGCTCCCGCTTGCTACTTCGACGACGCCCGAACAAATCTACGAATCGGCATCGCTTCCGATGTTCTTTTTTTTCTGGGGGGCATTTACTAGATGTTAGGGCCTATTTGGAAGGACAGCCAGCGCTGCAGAGGGAGCACGATTCGGAACAAGCGGAAGCGCAGACATGAGACCAACGCTGCAGAAGGAGCACGATTCGGAACGAGCGGAAATCCGAAAACGAGCTCTGCACTTCAGCGGGAGCAACATTTTGAAAAACAAGCCAAGCGAAAACCCGTTTCCCCGGAATCCCCTGTGCAAAAAAACAATACGCGGAGGGGGGCCGGAGATCCTCCGGACGTCATGAGGGGAGAGAGGAGAATAGTATTCACATTGTGTACGTAATCGTGAAGGGAAGGGGGGAGGGGGGGATTATGATGAGGGGTGGGCGGGAGGGGGATGAGGCGCAGGAGAGGGGGTGGGAGGGGGGGGAGGGGGTGGGAGGGGGGGATGAGGGGGTGGAGGGGGGGGGGAAAGAGGGGGAGAGGGGGTAGGTGGGGGGGATGAGGTGTGGGAAAGGGAGGATGAGGGGGGTGGGAGGGGGGCCGAGGGCGAGGAGGGTCGGCCGCGAGCGAGGGGGGACGCGAGGAGGAAAAGGCCTTCTCAGACGGCGGTGGGGCTTCTCAGAAGGCCTCGAGAGGTTTTCGATGTCTTCGGCGAAGGCACAGAAAACTTACCAGAAGGCCCACGGACTCCCAAGCCCTCCGAGAAGGCCCGCCCATTCTCACTTCCCCCCGGGCTCGCCGCTGAAAGGGGGTAGGTCCTCGTCCTCCTCCTCCTCCGCCTCTTCCTCCTCCTCCTCCTCCTCCTCCTCCCCGTTCCTCTCCAGCCCCCTCATATGATTCCCTGCCCCCCAGGCGAGTTGCGGGCTCGGGGTGCCCGACGCCAGTTCAGAACAGCCAAGTCAAGGCGTGCCCGAAACCAGTATGAGGCCGAGGTTTGGTTGTGCCTGCACGCGCACGCCTTCAAACGAGCGGAGTTGGACTTCCCCCAAATCACACGGTGGGGGATGACAGCCACCGTGCTCCAGGAGGGTAACCACTCGTTGATGCTCGGTCCCCCTCCTGTGCGCTGACACCCGCAGGCCGATCGACTCCCAACAAGCTCCTCAGCCTATTTTTTACCTTTCCTGCTCTCCATCTTGATCCCCGTAAATTCGCCGGCCCAACGGGCCAGAGGCGTGCTAAGATCTCCGGTAACTGCTCAACAATATTTCTAGTTCGCGCGTGCGGGGCAGGCCCTGGGGGTCCCCGGCAAGGTCCCGGCAGACTCCCGGCAGACTCCCGGCAGACTCCCGGCAAGGTCCCTTTTCGGAGCCCAGGAGGGCTCCAAACGGTCCAAGAGGGACCCGAGAAGCCCTCCAGACGGTCCAAGAGAGCCGGGAGACGCCGAAATATCACTCCCAAACGCCTGCGATGGCCTCAAGACGGCCCAACAGGCCTTCAAGACGCCCCAAGAGGTCCCTAAGCGGCGCCCCAAGAGGGCTCCCACAAGCAAACATCGTCCCATTCCCTTAGGAAAACGTGCATTTTTAACATATCCGCCTCTTCGTCTTTCACACATTTCAAGGCGGTCCAAGAGGCCCCCAAGATCACCCCAAGACGGCTCAAGAACTCTTTTTCGGAGCCCAGGAGGGCTCCAAATCGGTCCAAGAGGGGCCCGAGAAGCCCTCCAGACGGTTCAAGAGGGCCGGGAGACGCCGAAATATCACTCCCAAACGCCTACGATGGCCTCAAGACGGCCCAACAGGCCTTCAAGACGCCCCAAGAGGTCCCTAAGAGGTCCCTAAGCGGCGTCCCAAGAGGGCTCCCACTCGCAAAATTCGTTCCATTCCCTTAGGAAAACGTGCATTTTTAACATATCCGCCTCTTCGTCTTCCACACCTTTCAAGATGGTCCAAGAGGCCCCCAAGATCACCCCAAGATGGCCCGAGAGACCCTCTAGACCGCTCAAAGACGGCCCAAGAGCGCTCCAAGAAGGCCCAAGAAACCCTCAAGAACTCTTTTTCGGAGCCCAGGAGGGCTCCAAATCGGTCCAAGAGGGGCCCGAGAAGCCCTCCAGACGGTCCAAGAGAGCCGGGAGACGCCGAAATATCACCCCCAAGCGCCTACGATGGCCTCAAGACGGCCCAACAGGCCTTCAAGACGCCCCAAGAGGTCCCTAAGTGGCGTCCCAAGAGGGCTCCCACAAGCAAAAATCGTCTCATTCCCTTAGGAAAGCGTGCATTTTTAACATATCCGCCTCTTCGTCTTTCACACATTTCAAGGCGGTCCAAGAGGCCCCAAAGATCACTCCAAGACGGCCCGAGAGACCCTCAAGACCGCTCAAAGACGGCCCAAGAGCGCTCCAAGAAGGCCCAAGAAACCCTCAAGACGGTCCAAGAGGCCCCAAGACGGCCCCATGATTGAGGTCCACAGGGGCAACCTGAACGGAAATTTTGAGCCTCCCGCCCAAACACGCCCCCGAAATGCCCCTACAAGCCCCCAAGTAGCCCCACGAAGCCCCCAAGAGAGCCCCAAGAGGCCCCCAACAGGCCGCAAGAAAGCCCCAAGAGGCCCCCAAGAGACCCCCAGGAAGCTCCCAGGAGGCCCCCAAGAGGCCAGGCAGACCCCCCAAGAGACCACCAAGAGGGCCCACCCAGAGCCATCCACGAGGCCTCCCAAAGTTCCCAAGAAGCTCCCACGAAGCTTCCAAGGGCTCCCAAGACCCCCCAAGACCCCGCGATGGCACAATACGGGCCAGCGGAATGAGCGAAGCGATTCAATTTCTCCTCGTCATCCCTGTCCGTCAGCGCATACTCATTATCCTCCTCCGGCTCGTTTGCGTCTGTCGCAGCGCACACGCATTCGAGGCCTGCCACAAACACACACATACACACGCGCGCGCACTCACGCACGCACGCACGCACGCACAAACAAACAAACAAACAAACACACGCACACCTCTGCTCTCTGCACTGCATCTGCCTCCTTCCTTCTAGTTATCCCTTCCCCCGTCTCTCCCGTGTCCCTTGGCTTCGCGGCCCATCCCGCGTCTCTCGCCTGTTCTCGCCTCCGCGGCCCCCTCTCCGCCTGCTGCCGGGGCGTGTGGCGGCCGAGCCCAAGTCATTGAAATACGGGGGCGTGATCCGCGCCATGCACATTCGGTGATTTACTGACCGGCTCGATGCAAACCAGGGTCAGTCAGGCATTGCAGTATCCTTCAAGATCCTGCAGGATCCTGCACCCGAACCCGGGTCAAATGCAGCCCTGGCTCTGCAGGATCCTGCAAGATCCGGCGCTCTGGCTGACCCCCGTTTGCGTTGACGCCCGTCCCTTCAGCCCCGACGCATCCTCCGGGGAGGGCGAGGAGGAGGAGGAGGAGGAGGAGGAGGAGCAGACGACGTGCAATGAGGGAGGGGCGGACGACGTGCAATGACAGGGGGCGCAAGGATCGGCTCTTCGTTCTTCCCCCCCCCCCGGCCGAGCCCGTCGCCCGTCGCCCGCCCCTCTCCTCGCCTCCCCCCCACCCGCCCCCCACCGCGCAGCGGCTGCTGCCGTGGGAGGACGCCAACCCCACGCACATACCGATCCTGGCCAGGCTCACGCTGCGGCCAGCATCGGGGCAGGAATAGAGGACAGAAAATCCACCCTCAGAATGATCACCCCGAGACGCGAAGCCGTTCAGCAAACGCAGCCACAGAAGGAATCGAACAGGGCAGGGCTGTTTCGTAAACGCCCTGGGCCGTTCAAGAGAAAGCTGATTGGCGGGTCCGGGTGGCTTTTCCTCCCTTGAGGGAAGCCATCCACACAGGTCCTGGACCTGGGATCGGCCCGGCCAGGATCGGAGCAGGTGCTTAGAACTGCTGCCCTCCAGTGCAGGCCCCCAGCTCCGACGCCAAAGCCCGAGTGGCCGGCCAGGCCGCCCCGCGTGGCGGCCTCTGCCGAGTCCGCCACCGCGGCGCAGGCGCAGCCCGCAGCCAGGCCAGGTCCCTTCCCCCTCCCCTCCCTGTCTGCCTCGTCCTCCGGCCCCTCCAATCTCGTCCCTCCCCGCCCGGCAGGTTCTGCGAGGCGTCCATCAAAGCGTGGCTGTGTGCAGCAACGGGTCTGCCAGAGATCCCAGAGAAGCTGCAACGTTATCGCGAGACTGGATCTCGCCTCGCAGTGGCGCCACGCCACGACCCACGCGTCCCCGCATCCCCCTGCCCTCACTCATCCTCGACCTGCCCACTCCCCAGACACTCGCCAGGAGGGAGGGATCCTTCAGGTAGCACGACATGCCCCCGCTCTTGCAGCACTTGCCCTCGAAGCAGCCATCTGCGTCCCAGGCGCACCTGCCAGTGGCAGCTCGCCGTCGTGGTGGCCGTCGTCGGTCTCTTCTTCCTCCTCCTCCTCCTCCTCCTCCTCCTCCTCCTCCTCCTCCTCCACCTCCAGGAGGAAGGGGTGGGGAGGGGAGACGAGTAGGAAGGAAGAGGTGGAGGACCGAGGACGAGTGGCAGGGGTTTGCGGAGTTTTCGATCCTTTCATGGTGGCTCTCAAATGTTCTGGAAGGCTCCGAGTGGCTGATGGGTCCTCCACCTCATTGCTCCTTTTCCGTGCCCCTCTCTTATCGTTCGCGCATTTCTTCCTCCCTCCTCCTCCTCCTCATCATCGTCATCAGCAACCGCATCATCATCATCATCATCATCATCATCATCATCATCATCATCATCATCATCATCATCATCATCATCATCATCATCATCATCATCATCATCATCAACATCAACATCATCATCATCATCATCATCAGCATGAGCATCAGCATCAGCATCATCATCATCATCATCAGCATAATCAACATCATCATCAACATCACAATCATCATCAGCAGCATCATCACCATCATCATCAACATCATCATAATCATCATCGTCAGCACCATCATCAATATCAGCATCAACATCAGCATCAGCGACACATCATCATCATCATCAGCATCATCATCAGCATTATCATCATCATCAGCATAATAAGCATCGTCATCACCACCATCACCAGCATCATAATCATCATCATCAGCGTCATCATCAACAGCATCGTCATCCTCGTCATCACCACCACAATCATTATTATCATCATGATCATCAACATCAACATCATCAACATCATGATCACAACCGTCAGCAGCATCAATATCATCATCAGCAGTATCGTAATCATATTCATCATCAGCATCAGCATCAGCAACATCATCAGCATCAGCATCATCAGCATCATCAGCATCCTCAGCATCATCATCGTCGTCATCGCCATCGTCATCAGCATCATCGTCATCGTCGGCGTCGTCGTCATCGTCATCAGTCCTCCTCCTTCTCCTCCTCCTCCTCCGCCTCCTTCTCCTCCTCCTCCCCCCTGGTGTTGCTCATTCCTCCACTTCTTCACCCGACTGCTCCTATTCCTTCTCCCACCCTCTGATCCTCCGCGTCCGCTTGTCCCGCCTCCTCTCCATCTTATCATTCCTCCGCATAACCCCTGTTGCGTTTATTCCTCAATATTATCACCCGATTCGTCATACTCCTTTTAGTCCAATCTCTCATCCTCCGCGTCGGCCTGTTCATCCTCATCTCTCTTGATGCCCCTGAGACGTCCTGGCGATTCAAGCACAGACGCGGCCCTCGCTCGTATCTTCCTCCTGACGCAGTCCTCGGGAGCCCAAGTGTGCTGGCGGTGACTGGTTGTTTGATAGCCTGTTGTTTTGGACTAGTAGCAGGAGTGCGGGCCTCGTGAGGGGCTCCCGCCTGAGGCTTCCTCACGACTCACTCAATGACGAGGCTCCCGATACTTTCTCAACACAGAAGTGACGTCAACTACAAGTTTGGGATGGCCGTGTCGGACCAGTAGGGGGCACAGGGAGCGAGCTCCCGCTCAAGGTTTCGTCGCGATTCGCTCGCGCGAGGCTCCCGCTCGGAACCTTCTCTCGATGTCAGCCTCAGGAGCCCAACAATGGCGAGAGGTATGGTTGTGGGATGATCGCCTCGGATTGGTAAGATGAAGTGCGGGCCCCATATGAAGGGATCTACCACTCTGGACGAGCGCGTTCCACTACTCGCAACGTGACTACTCGCAAATGGCCTGGATCCCCCGCGGAGGATCTAAGATAACTTACATCAAGCAGACATGTGTTTTTAGGATGCTTGCGAGTAGGCACTTTGCGAGTAGTGGAACGCGCTCGGTGATACTCGAGACGTCCCCGCGACTCACTCGCAAACGAGACTCCCGCTCAAGACTTCCTCAAGTTTCAACCCTCAGGACCCCAGAAGCGGCGACAGATACAGGATCTGGATGGCCCGCTCGGATTACGTACATGAACTGAGGGCCGCAAAGAAGACTCACTCACAGACGAGGCTTCCACTCAAGATGTCTTCGAGATAACTGTATGTATGAGTGTGCGTGTGTGAGCGAGTGTGTGTGTGTGAGAGCTAGAGGTGGCATGTTTGAGTGAGTGCGTCTGTGTGGGCAATGGTGCGAGTGCGCGAGATGCTGATGCTGGTGATGGTGATGGTGATGACAATGTTGATGATGGTGGTGCTGCTCATGAGCATGATGATGGTGACAATGATGCTGCTGGTGACGGTGAGGATGGTGATGCTGAGGATGGCGACGACAATGATGATGACCATGCTGATGATGATGCTGATGCTGCTGATGATGATGACGACGGTGGTGATGATGATGATGATGATGATGATGATGACGAGGATGATGATGATGACGATGATGATGACGATGATAATGATGATGATGGTGATGATGATGATGATGATGATGATGATGATGATGATGATGGTGGCGTTGGTGATGGTACTGATGATGTGTACGGGATTCCTCTGGCTCCTGCGCTTGATGTGCAGAGCAAATACTCCGACTGCCAGACCCACCATGAGAATACGTTTAGTTTGCCGGGGTATCTCCTCCTGCCGTCTCCTGTCTCCTCCTGCCTCCTCCTGTTCCTCCTGTCTGCTCCTCCTCCCCCTCCCCCTCCTGCCTCCTGCTGCCTCCTCCTGCCTCCTCATCATGCCTCCTCCTCCTCCTCCTCCTCCTCCTCCTGCACCCCCCTCCTCCTCCTCCAGCCTCCCCCTGCTGCCTCCTCCTCCTCGCATGATTGTGCTGCCTCCTCCTCCTCCCTCCTGCCTCCCCCGTCCTCATCTTCCTCCGTAGCTCTTTCTCCGCAACCCTGTTGGCTCAGAAACACGTTCGCCTGCCCAGGCCCGAGCCGGCCGCGGTACCCCCCCCCCCCGTGCCCGATACCGTGGAGGAGGCGCTACTCGGCCCCGTGGTCCGAGCGGGTGGCTCACACCAGGTGGTGGCGGCCACGGCGGTCGCTCCGTGGCGCGCGGGGCGCGCTGCGTCTGCCATAACTTGACCAGAACGGTGCTTTCTTTCCGTGTTCGTGTTGTGTTCGTTGTTCCTCGTGTTGTCTTCGTTCCGCCGTCGCTGCAGAAGGAAGAAGGAAACGAAAACGAAAACGGCCCACGAGATCGCCAAAAAAACAACGTTCAGGTCGAGACCAGGCGTCTTCCAAGAAGGCAGTCGAGAAGGGTGTCCTGGAGGCGGCGGAGGCCAGGATCGAGATGATCAATCAAGCCCGTCATCAGAGCGAAGATCCGAGCGGCGCACGATGTCGAGCCGCTGCGCCTCACGGGCGAGGGCAACGCCATGGGGAAGGTGGCCGAGCATGCTCTCTGTGGCGCCGGAGCGGAGGCCTTGCCTCAGGATGGCACGGAAGCGAAGCGGCGGCAGAGGGGCATGCGCAATGCTGGCGCGGACGAGGACAGCCGCGAGCCGGAGAAAAAGTTCGAGGACGGCTAACAGATGAAGGACCAGGACACAGTGAATGAGGAGAGCAAATACAAGAAGGAGAGGAGCGATGAGGAGGTCACCAGTCAGGAGGTGAGCCGCTTCGGCACCGCCCAGTCCATGAGCTCGAGGTCCAGCTCGAGGAAACTGAGAGGCTCCGGGACGCGGCGCGGGGCTCGCCGACAAAAAAGGCTGGAAACCGAAGATGAAGCCGAGCAGCACGGGCAAGTCTCGTTCATCGTCGCGGCGATTTTCGGCAAGGACTGGAGTCGGGGCAACCAGTCATGGGCCCCCTTGCTCCCTTCAAGTTATGAGGGCACCTAATGTGACATATGTGCCAAGCCTTGGCTTCGAATCCCGTCCTGTGGCACGGTCGTCTCTCGCGGGGCTGGCCCGTACATCTAGAACCCGTCATTATTACCCTCCTCCGTCTCCGCCTCCTCCTCCGCCTCCTCCTCATCATCATCATCAGCAGCACCACCACCACCATCATCATCAACACCATCAGCATCTTCACTGGCATCATCATCATCACCACCATCAGCATCATCATTATCATCCTCATCATCATCACCATCGGCATTACCATCATCACCATCATCATCACCCGCATCACCATCAGCATCACCTTCATCATGCAATCCACATTCATCACCATCATCATCATTATCATCATCGGCATCAACATCACCATCATCATCAACCGCATCATCACCGCCACCATCATCATCAGGGCCATCAGTGCCACCATCATCATCGTCATCAGCATCCTCATCATCATCATCGGCATCACCATCATCACCATCACCATCACCATCACCATCACCATCATCATCACGATAATCATCATAATCATCACCATCGGCATCATCAGCATCACCATCACCAACACCATGATCGCCAATCAACCTAATCATCATCATCACCACCGGCATCATCACAAGCAGCAGCATCATCACCACCAGTATCAGCATTATCCTCACCGACATCAGCAACATCCGCATCATCATCACCATCCGGATCGTCATTTTCAGCATCACCATCACCATCATAATCACCATCCGCATCACCAGCACCACCATCGGCAATGCTTTCATAATCATCGCCAACATCATCACCATCAGCATATCCATCATCATCGGCGGCATCATCATCACCATCATCAGCATCGTCATCATCACCACCAGCATCATCAACGGCATTAACATCATCATCACCATCACAATCATCATCATCATCGGCATTATCAGCATCCTTATCATCATTACCATCATCACCATCACCGTCATCACCCGCATCATCACCATGATCATCACCATCCTCATCAGCATCATCGGCATCATCATCACCATCATTCGCAGCATCATGGCCATCATCGGCATCATCATCACCATCACCACAACCACCAGCAGCATCACCATCACCAGCATGATCGTCACATCATCACCATCACCATCATCATCCGCACCATCAGCATCATCAGCCCAGCATTAACATCATCATCATCATCACCACCACAATCATCCTCACCACCCTCATCACCACCATCATAATCACCATCACCATCATCACCACCATCATGGTCATCATCAGCAGCAGCACCATCGTCACCATCATGGGCATCATCATCACCATCATCACCGTCAACATCATCATCATCACCACCACCACCATCACCAGCATCATCACCATCATCAGCATCAAGGACAAAAATAATCTATTGCCATAGCGTGCCATTGATACGTTCCGGGGATTCCGGGATTTGTAACAACTTTCGCGCGGGCTACACTTTGCGTCGAATATTGTCTACTCAGGCTGGCGCCGCTGGTCGGTCACCCATTCGCAATCGAGTGGTCGCTCGTACGGGGCTAGTTGGTACTTGCTGATCCCCCTTCTCCTTGCCGGGCGCGGGGGGGGGCGGCGGCGCTCCGTCCCATCGCCCGCCGCCGCGCACCGCACGCCTCGGCGGATTTCCAATGGCCCGGCGCGGCAAATCACTCGCGACTTTGGAAAATTCTCCGGGGGCTAATTTTACAAATAAAAAAAGGGGAACGTTGTTGAACATGTCCGGCCCATGTTTTGGAAAAAAAAAATATTTGGAAAAAATCCGGGGGCGATTTCGGAAAATTCCGGAATCCATTTTGAAAATTCTGATTCAGATGTCCTGCGCGGCGGGCGCATTCCACCCCTCGATGTTTTTGTGTTGCTTGAAAATTTACGGGTTCCCTGTTGAAAAATTCCGGAACCGCTTGCGCCAGAAAAACGGAGACGTTTTCCGAAACATTCTACAATCCAATAATACTTTCCGGGCGGTTCCACGGGCGCGGCCGGCTGATTCACGCACCGCGCCGCGCGCGATTGGGCGCAGCGCGCGCCGCGCGCTGCGCCCGCGAACAGCACTCGAAGGGGTCACCTCGAAAACAGCGCCACGGCAGCTGCGACGCCCGGACCCCCCAAGAGCAACACAGCATGCAGCTTGGCATCTACGAGGGCGCTCCGGCGCGCGAAAAATGCACCGCGCACATCGCGCAAAGATTCTGCGAGACGGAATGCGCTCGACCACTCGTCCCTGTAGCCCGCGCGGAAAAATAAGAAAACCTCGGGATCTTGAAAATTATCCATATCAATTATTCATGCCCCTCTGATCATCACTATCATCATCATCACCAGCAGCAGCAGCAGCACCATCATCATCATCATCATCATCATCATCATCATCATCATCATCATCATCGGCCGCATCATCGTCGTCATCACCACCATCAGCATCATCATCGTCACCAGCATCATCCGCACCATCATCATCATCAGCAGCATCATCAGCAGCAGCACCATCACCATCGACATCACCATCATCATCACCACCAGCACCATCATCATCAACACTATCATCATCATCATGATCACAATCATAATCACCACCACCAGCATCACCATCATCATCACCACCGCCAACATCATCACTATCATGACCATCAGCACCAGCATCATTTCCACCATCACCATCACCATCTTCACCAGCATCATCACCATCATCATCATCAGCATCATCATCGTCATCCCCCTCCTCCGCCACGTCATTCTTCTTGATATGATTGTTCTCCTCCTCCCCCTCCTCCCCCGTCTCCTCCAGGGCGTCGCCCTGCTCCGCGTCTTGGCCGGGGGCGGCGGCCACGAGGGCGGCGTGCGCCGAAACCATCGACGCCAGCAGCGTCTCCGGCGGCTCTGCGCCCCAAGCCCTGGCCGCGGCCCCGCTTTCGAGGCGGTCCAGGAACTCGCGCGTCGCGCGGGCCAGCTCCGCCGGCTCCCTGGCAGCCTCCGACGCGGCCGCCCCTTGCGCTTGCTGGGCAGCCTCCTCCTCCAGGGCTGCTTCATCGACAGCTGCCGCTGTGACGTGGGCCTCCACTGCCCGGCGCGTCGCTGCTGCCAGCGTTTCGTCTGCCGCTGTCGTCACGGCTGCTGCTCGCCGCGCCGCCGGAGGCCCTCCAGGAGGTTGCCAGCGCGCGGCTGCGCTTGGCGGTCGCGGGCAGCCGCCTCCTCCCACTGCAAGCCCAAACCCCCGACGTCATGATTTTTTCATGACGCGCGACCCCCCGGTTCTGCCGTTTCTGGCGGCGCGCCTGCCTCGCGGGCGGCGGCCGCCGCCTCGCGGCGGGCGTCGGCCTGGGCCCCGGGCCGCTGCGGCCGGCCTCCATGGCTCAGCAGGGAACACGCCTCCGCAGCTCCGCGGGCGGCACCCGGAGGGGCCGCAGCAGCGGCCACGGCGCGAGGGGCCGCGCACCGGCGGCACGCGGAGCTTCCTCGTGATTCAATCCTCACGAGCTCCCAAAAAACAACACTTACCCAGAGTTCCGAGGATTTGGCTTTTTCCGAGGATCTGGTCTTAGATTAAGGCCTCAGGGGCCATCAAAAAGCGATCTGGGAAGAAAACACCCCCAAGGGAAGGGGTCGGGACCTCTGGGGCAGCGGACTGAAAACATCATATCGGCGGATGTCTGGGCACATGATTTGGATGACCCGCTCGGATTACTAACATGACAAGCGGGCCCCATAGGGAGGGGTTAACGCTCGGTACTTCCCCCTAGTTCAGTCCTCAGGATCCCAAGAGCGACGACCGTTACGAGCTGTTGGATGGCCGCCTCGGACCAGTAACATGAAGCCGCAGGCCCATAGCGAAAGGGGCTCCCACTCGAGGCTCCGTTGCTATTCACTCCCGCTCGAGGCTCCCGCTCCAGGCTTCCTCTTCGGCTCAAGTCTCAGGAGCCCCAAAATGGCGGCAGTTACAGGTTTTGGGATCGCAACCTCGGATAAATAACATGAAGCGGGGGCGAGGGTGCTCCCACTCGGAACTTTTTCGCGATTCGCTCACAGACGAGGCTCCCGATCGACACTTCCTCGAGCTTCAGTCCTCAGAAGCCCAAGTGGTAGCTAAAGATTTTGATGACCCACTCACCCACTCGGATTACTAACATGAAGCGCGGGCCCTACACGGAAGAGCTCTCGCTCGCGACACTCTCACAACTCACTCACAGACGAGGCCCCCGCTCGAGACCTCCTCAAGATGGATGTATGTGTTAGTATGTCAGTGTGTCAGTGTGTCAGTGTGTGTGTGTGCTGTGCGTTGTGTGTTGCGTTGTGTGTTGTGCGTGTTTCCGTGAGTGAGAGCGTGAGGAGTGAGCGCGTGTGAGAGAGATGATGTAAGTGTGTTAGATGATGACTATGGTTGTACTACTGTGTATGACGTTGATGACGGTGATGGTTGCTGCTGGTTATGATGAGGATGGTGTTGATGATGACGATAGTGAAGGTGATGATGATGATGAGGATGTTGATGATGAGGATGATGATAATGAAGGTGTGTACATATATATATATATATATATGTATATGTAGCTGCCCATATATATGTATATATATATATATATATGTGTTTGCTTGTGTTTGCGTGTAGGTGTAGATGTGAATATATGAGCGTGTGTGTGTTGTGTTCGAATGCGTGCGCGTGTGCGTGGTCGTATGCGTGTGCGTGTGCGTGCGTGTGTGTGTCTGTATGTGAGTGTCTGTCTGTCTGTCTCTGTCTCTGTCTGTCTGTCTGTCTGTCTCTGTCTCTGTCTCTGTCTGTGGTGTGTGTTGTGTGTGGTGTCCAGTAAGTTGTGTGTTGTGTGATGTGTGTCGTGCTGTGTGCTGTTTGTGCGTGTATGTGCGTGTGCCTGTGCGTGTGCGTGTCTGTGTGTAATGGGCCGCCGTGCGCGTCTCGCTGCCCGATGTTCTCCACCTCGACGCCGCGAAGGTGACCACGAAGCCAAAACCGTGTGTGTTGTGTGTGATGTGGCTTGTGTTTGTTGTTGTGTGTTGTGTGTTGTATGTTGTGTGTTGTGCGTAGTGTGTGTGTGTGTGTTGTGTGTGTTGTGTGTTGTGTGTGCTTTGAGTGTGAGGTGTGTGTGTGTGTGTTGCGTGTGTTGTGTGTCGGTTGTGTGTTGTGTGTTGTGTTTGTTGTGTGATGTGTGCTGCGTGGTGAACTGAGAGTGTGAGTGTGAGAATGTGAGAGTGTGAGAGTGTGTGAGTCTGCTAGTGTGTGCGTGTGTGACTGTGTGTGAGCGTGAGTGTGGGAATGGGTGTGGGTGTGGGTGTGGGTGTGCGTGTGAAAGAGAGAGAGAGAGAGAGAACAAAAAAAGAGAGAGAGAGAGAGAGACTGGGGGGGGTCCTCTGGTTCCTGAAGGGGGTGCGGCCAAAGTGCCGCACCAGTTCGGTGACAAAGTAGATAGGCGAAGCCCCCACTGTGCTGAGCGGGCTCCGAGGCCGCGCCGACCGACTGGGGGACCAGCTCGGAGCCGAAGATGGGCTCAGCCGGCGCGTCTGGAAGCAAATCTGTGCACAGAGGCACCTCAGGAAATCACCAATCAGCCACCCTCAGAAGGATGGGATGCGTTGCTCTTAGTCACTGCGTGGCAGAAATCGTCTGCGCTCCACCGACACGTCGGATGAGGGGGGCGTGCCCAGACCCGTCGCTGGGAGGGCAAGCTCGGCGGACACTTGCCGACCACGCGAGGGAGGGAGCAGGAAGGATGATGATGAGAAGGCGGAGGATGAGGAGGAACAGAAAAATGAGGAAGCAATGGTATGGACAGTGACGTTGAGGATGATGATGACGATGAAGATGATGACGATGATGATGATGCTGCTAATGCTGATGGTGGTGATGATGATGCTGATGCTGATGATGCGGATGATGACGGTGCTGAGATTGTTGTTGATGATGCTGATGATGATGATGATGATAATGGTGATAATGATAATGTGGACTATGATGCTGTTGATGACGGTGATGCTGATGATGATGCTGATGCTGATGTTGATGCTGCTGCTGATGATGGTGATGGTGGTGGTGCTGATGTTGATGCTGATGCTAATGATGGTGATAGTGATGATGATGACGACGATGCTGATGATGATGATCATGATGATCGTCATTGGCATGCTTCATGATGGTGACAATGATGATTATGATGATGATGACGATGCTGATGTTGATGATGATGGTGATGTTGATGCTGATGATGGTGATGATGTTGACGGCGATGATGGCGATGCGGATGATGATGTTTTTGATGATGTTGATGATGATGCTAATGATGATGATGATGATGATGCTGATTTTGATGATGGTGATGCTGTTGATGATGCTGATGATGGTAATGATGCAGATGCTGATGCTGGTGCTGGTGCTGATGTTGGTGCTAATGACGGTGATGATGATGCGCCTAATGATGATGGTGGTGGTCATGATGATGATGATGATGATGATGATGATGATGATGATGATAATGATGATGATGATGGCAATGAGGAGGGAAGAGGAGGATACTCAGGAGGGGATTTGGAAGGAGGATGGATGGTGGAGATGATGATGGTGATGAGAACGATGACCTGAGGATGAGCGAGGATGCGGAGGAGGAGGACAAAGGAATAGAGAATTGCTTTCCCCGCAACAGGCGATAAGCAGGGAGGAACGAGGAGAACGACGACGTGAGGGGTGACCAAGAGGAACGAGATGGATGCGGAGGAGGGCACAGGAGGCCAACGAGCGAGCAGTCCCCCCCACTCCTCCCTCCGCACTTGGAGAACGCGCCGTTCTTCAGGCTGACCACCTGCCACAAGCCGCCGGAGCGAGCGCAGGGAGCAAGAAGGGAACGAGGGAGGGGATCCTGCTCCTCTCCTCCTGCCCTCCTCCATCCCTCCTTCCGATGGCCGTGTTCTCCGAGCAAGCTTGGCAAAGGCTCTGTACACAGGGAGTGCTGGGTTAGACACTCGCTCCCAGACGAGCAAAAGAGGTGGGCTCAGTGGTTCGTTCACCCGCCGGTCCAGGCCGTTCCAGCGCATTTCCCAGTATCTTTTTAGAGTCAACGAGCCAAGGCACGGAGACTGGATCTGCGTCATCCAAATAGGTCTGGTCAAGGTTTCGAATCCTCGGCATCAGTGCCCCCTTACCCGTTACCTTCCCCCGTGGGTCTCCCCGTTCGCTCTCCCCTCGCTCCCACGCGAGTGCATTGCGCATACGCGTGTGCATTTGCTTCTGGAATTCGTCGGCTAAATTGGTTGAATGATTCCTTCTCTGGAACCCAAGCCTGCAAATTCTGTTTGGGGTCACCTGCTGATTCCCCCCCTTGGGTCTCTTGAGTGGGCATAGTTTGCGTTTGCTTTGTTGCTCACTGTAGCTGTCGAACATGACATTGATATTCCCCTCCTGCTTTGCAAGTGCGGGGCTAAGTAGTTCTCCTTTGGCCCAAACCTGCCCATTCAGTTAAGGGCCAGATTGCTGTTCTTCCCCCTGTGGGGCTGAGTCCCCGTCGCCTCAAGACCTCTTCTCCTCTTCTGGGATAATGTGAGCCTCGCAGGATGTCCCCAATTGCTCTGTCTCATTGTGGTGGGATTGCGGGGAACGCGGTGGGTCGGGATAGGTCTACATAAGTTGCGCACTCGTCGCTCTCTCCGAAGTTGGTACGAATTCTGCGTGCCCCCTGTCGCAGCCTCCATGTTTTGCTCCCGAGCCCTCGCTGCCGCGCAAACATCGGTCACTCTTCGCAGCTGCCTCATGAAAACAGGTGTAGTATGATAAGACAGGTTGAGGCTAGCTTTATGGAATTCTCGCCTCCTAGATGATTACATGCTCTTATCCACCTGGATCATGTCTGGGAGGCAAGATGGCTACTGTTCTACAATATAGATTGTGATTGTCGGGTCACGGCTTGTATAATGTTGGTGTTGTATCCTCACTTTGCTTCCTCGCCTCACGCCCCCTCGCCCGCGTCGCGCTCTCCCTCGCGCCTACTCCAGCTGTGTGGTCGCCGTCCTGGGCGTGGTTGTGGGACGGTAGGAGCGAGGATGTCGCTATGTCGAGCGCTCAACTTCTTCGTAGTTGTTAGTTTCCGGTTTGCTTCGTTCAAGGACATGTGCTCGGGGTGTGGATCGCTGAGCTGTCCCTAGACAGCCAAACCCTAAAGTGCTCGGCGCTCTCCCAGCAGGAGAGGCGATGGCCCTCCTCTGTGGACAGCTGATCTGGTCCTCTTTCCCAATGGCATCAACACCTTTCAGCTGGGCAACCCCGTACTGCTGCAATGAAATTTAGACCCAAAACCACGGTTTCGGTGGACCTATGGATGCCAAGCTCAGTAGTGCTTCAATCGGGCGATGCCTTGGAGTCCTCCGCTGCTGCCATGAACGAAGAAGAAAAGATAGGCAAACTGCAAGAGCACCTAGGGATCACGATCGCACCGTAGGTCCAGAAGCCAACAAGAGACCACCGACCCATTGGGTGTTTTGAAGATGCGCTACGTGTTAACAATGGTACCACAAAGCATGTCCAAGACAAATGCGATCGCCAGAATAAGCGGGACTATGAGTACGCGTGTGCTGGGCAGAGAACTGAGCAGGCTGTTTGGAAGCGTGCACTCATCACGGAGGCCACATAGGCGCTTGATCAAACAATTGCAGCATCCCTCATGGTCTGGTAGGGCCTTCGAGACGGTCGATCATGGTTTGGTGTGGGATGCGGTGGTTCGGCATGGTCTCCCACGCAGGCGCATTGCAATACTGATACAATGACATAACTGGAGAAGCGCGAAAAATTCGGGAGCATGATGGAATACGCAAATACGATGAACAGGGTGTTATTGCTGGCTGTGGGTTGGCAATCATGGTTACCAAGTGCTTCACGTCCAACAGGTATGACATAATGTATATGCTGGAACACATGCACCCCACATCAACAACGACATATTGTACGACATGTTTGGGGCACGTGAGCGGCCTGTACTCCAGTCCAGTGGAGCAGGGGAACAAATCACCGCTGGCGTCGCCATCGCCACCAAAGAGACCTGTCGGTGTTTCGCCGGGATTCGCATGATCGCCAGCGGTGATACAGGGCAAAATCATGGACACAGAAGACCACGATGCACTCAAGATTGCAGGTGCCTTGTCTTCGCATCACTCTGTGTGCGACAGCGTGGGGTCGACAAGCATATGGTACGAGGTGGGCGCCAAATTCAGAGTCTTCGATGTCGGAGGAAAACCTTCGCATTACTAGATTCAGACGAATGGCCAATGGAGGGCGATCGCTGTGCCGTATCTACCGTGTTTACCGGCGTCCTGCAGTCACGTACGGGACGAGAGTGCATGGCATTTATGAGTGTCAATTCGGTGTTCAACGTTGCATGTCTGGAGCCCCAAGCGGTAGATCGCGGACACTAGACTTCATGTTATCTGACAATCCCAAAAAATGGCCCGACGTTTGATGTCAACGCCTTGCCGCTCGTTCCGTGGCTGAAAGCTATGCGGAGACCGTGGGCGACGGCGAAATATATGGAACTGACATTCAGGCACGCGTCTAACAATACGTGTGATTGGGGATCTGCCATCGCACCAGCTGGAGCAATGCCTGCTACCTTGAACAAGATAGGTTGGCAGGCTATCGAGCGTGACCGCTGGCAGGACGAACGATGCCTCACCACCAGCCTGAAGTGACTAGGAATACATACGCTACACATACGCTGCGAAGAATGGCGGACGCACCTACGAGACAGATGTTGCAGGGAACTCAGCACACCTTGGGTCTCGAAAGCCTCGTTGGAATTACATTGTTTTCGCCCGCTACTGGGATGACACAAATCCTCAATAAGCAGGACGACCACTCGGGAACTGGACTCGTCAAATAATTGTTGCCACGAGGGTGGTGGATGCAGGAACCGCTGTTTAATCACGGCGCTGCTGGTTCACCGATGTGCGCTGCGATCAGTCATGAGGAATGAGCACCGTCGCATCGCATATACACGATTTTGTGTCATGCAACGAAGCGTCAAGACGGGTACTGAGACGAACAACGACTGCTCAGGCCGAATGGAAAAATGATTTCAAGATTCCACGTCGTTCGTCACATGCCGTGGTCTGCTTCCTGACCTTGCGCATGATCCCCACTACGGGTGCCCACCACCGCCACATCAGTTCGATCGCGTCTTCTGGGAGAAGAGCCCTCCTGGGTGCAATGCCCAAGTTACTGTGCGCATTGATGGCTCGGGAGTCAACCCGCAGCATCCACTATGTGCACGCGCAGGCTGGCCATGCTGTATGGCAGATGGTCTCGGGAATCTGCTTGGTGTGATCTTCGAGGCCCCCAAGGCCACCCAATGACGTCCCAAAAGGGTCCCAAAAGGCGCCCAAGACTGCCCAAAACGGCGCCAAGACGGCCCCAAAGGCTCCCGAATCGGCCTAAAAGAATCCCAAGACGGTTCCTGGAGGGGCCCCTGCGGCGAAGCCCGAACCGAAAATCCGAGCCCTCCGCTCCCACCTGGCCCTGGGACACCCCGCGAGCTGCCCAAAAGGTCCCAAGAGACCCCCAAAGACCTCCAAAAAGCGTCCGAAAGGCCCAAAAGAGGCCCCAAGAGGTCCCAAAACGGCTATCAGTGAATTTCGAAACTACCTCCACGAAGCCTGCGAAATGCCTCCCCCCCCCATAACCCCCCCAGGGACCTCAAACCGGAGATTTGACCCCCCCGGGCCCGGCACGAGCGCATCGCGGGACTTTTCCGGGTGAAGAGGGCCTAAACACGGGCCAAGAAGGCCCCAAGAAGCCTCCAAGACGGCCCACGAGAGCTCCGAGACGCCAAACGACCTCTGCGACTTCGGTAGTCTTCTCTTGCACGCGCCGCTCCTGTCGCCTTTTGATGATTCCCCACCTGTTGCTGCTGCAAAAGTTTCGTGTCCGAGAACGCTCCTCCGCACGCCGCGCACGTCACGTCGCACCTCGTTCTCTCGCCCCTTCTGCGCATTTCCGACAGAGCCTCTCCCCCGATGAATTGTGCTTCTTCTGTGCACCCGACATTTCCGCCTGCTCTTTCAACAGCGTCAGACATGTCTTGCTCGACCGCATTTAAGGGGTCGGCGGATGTGGATAAGCCTGAAGAATATGCTTGGCGTGATCTTCGGGCCTGCTCGGTTTCCCTGGACTGGTCCTGGGGAGCTGTGGGCGGCCATCTATGCCCTGAAGTTCCCAGGACCTGGACGGATTACCCTCATTACATCATTACTGACCTCCTCGAGCTTTCCAAGGCCTGGAAGAGAGGCGCCCATTGGGGCGCCAGTACCGACAGTCTCCGAGGTGAGCTGCGGAGGGCGCTCTGGAGGTATAAAGAAAAAATGGGCACCGACAGCATCAGCATTGAGTGAATGCCGAGCCGCAAGAGTGAGAACCAGAGGTTGATTGATGGAGTACATCTTGCCTGGCGCGGGGGAAAACACACATGTGATCATTTTGTCCGACTTGGAGCCAAGATGCACGCGAAGAACACCCTTTTTGAGTCGCTGAGGTCGATGCGCGAGTTATCTGCCAAGTTAACGCTTCAATTTGTTGTGTGAAGTCTTGGGCGCTGTTCCAAAGGAAATGGCCCGAGTCAGACCTCATCCCCGTCCTTGAGGCCCCAAAAAGGTTTAGGCAAGGACCTGATCTTCGAGGGCACTGCCTTGTGAGGAAGGAGGGGGAATGGCATTGTGAAATGTTTGGTAGGTGCGGCACAAGCACACACGCAAGGGGGGGTTGTCCCAGCCCTGTGGGGGCTTTCCTCTTGGCGTTCGTGCTGCTAACCCAGCACACGATTTGAGGATCACACGTAACCTCGTGTGGTGCTCCGTGTGTGCTGTAAGATGCAAGACCCGAGTGCATGACATAGCCAAGCAGTGTGTTGGGAGGCCCTCTTCAGCATGCTCCATGCAATATGAGCGTAAATACATGTTGCAGGGGAGGGGGCCAAACGGAGAGGTGATTGGGGACGGGTCTCATCGTCCCCTCCCTCTCCGCAAGCCTAGGCAAACCTACATGTCTCCTCGGCCCACCATTATTGGGGGGGATTCCTGCCCCGTCCGCTCGGAGATCGTTGTCACCACCCTGGGACCCTGGCCTCCTCCTCCTCCTCCTCCTCCTCCTCCTCCTCCTCCTCCTCCTCCTCCTCTTTTGCCCGCGCTCGCGCCGTGGCGGAAAAGGGGACCCGAGAGGAGCGGCTTCTCGTCCTGGGTCGATCTTTGTTTGACGGCCCCAGGTTAGGAGGCAACGCCCGGGACATCTTCGTGGGAACGATTGAGGGCGAATTATGACGCCCGATCGATGCGCCATCAAGCCCGATCGGCCGAGGTTGAGCCCCAGACTGAGCCAGACTGAGCCACCGTAAACGGGACGGGGCGAGATTCAGCAGGACTCTGCAGGATTAGGCCCGCTTTGGGCCGCAGATCTACCAGCGCCGATGCCGAATGCAGTCTCGCAGAGAGCTGCACCCGGCACCCCAACCCAGGGCCTCGGAGGTACCCCCAGGGAGCCCGAGATCGGCGAGCGCCCCCGGGGCCCTTCTCCCTGCCCAGACGCCCCGAGGCGCCATTTTTCTCATCCCCAGTCGAGCTCGTGCACGGCCCCAGGTCCCAGGATGGGGCCCCAAGCCCTCGGCACCGTCTGTCCGCGAAGCTGCATGGAGCGGTACCAGTGCGTGATACGTGGGAGAGCGGGCCCGAAACTGGCCGAAAATGTCCTGCACCTTGGAAAAAAAATGACGCCCGGATCGTACGGGCCGACGAGATTGTGAGGGGCGAAAAACCTCAGGACCCGAGTCCATCCGCATTGCGACCCTGGCAAGGTCGCCCCCCGATCTCGCCCCAAAACCTCGAAGGAAATGAGGCCGTGACGACGAGGAGCTTCCCAAAGGCCAACAACATCCCAATCCCAGGGATTCTGCCCCCTGTGCAGGCGCCCAAACGGAACTGGAGTAGATCAGGTCAGAGGACAGCGCCGCATCGCAGCTGCATGGAACACGCATCGACGTCGGGGCGGGACAAAAAAAATCGCGCGCGGCATCGCGCCGCAGCGCCGGTGCGGCGCGATCCTCCGACCCCATCTGCAGAGGCGGAGTCGGAGTAGATCATTGGTCCAAAACATACCCTTACCCGGGGTCGGCCTGGGTGAAAAGGGCCGTCCGCTGGACTGGGCGCTTGCCACTGCACCCGAACAGTAGATGTACTGGGGCCCGAGTGGCGTGGCTGGCGACAGCGAAGGTGGCGGCGGGGCCGAAACCAGCTGCACGCAGGATATCTCGCACCCCCCCTTGCCCATACAGCGCATCCCCCCTCCCCTTTTCCGTCCCGAGAACATACCGCAGTAGATGTACTCTGGCCCCTGCTGTCGGCGCTTCAAGTTTAGGACCCTGACACAGTGGGACCCTTGGACGGGGAGGCCTTGAGCAATGCAAGCTCAACCTGGAACCTCTCTCCTACCGTCCCCCTGGGGCTCCAGATTCGAACGCCCGACTTCCTGGGCCGCCTGGACCTGAGCCTGGAACCCACTTCCTGCTTGACCCTCCCTGTTCCGCGGCGCGCGGCGCGGGCGGCACGGCCGCCGCGCGGCGCTCACGCCGCCACGGTGGCGAGCAGCGCGAGCAGCGCCGCGGGCACTGCCAGCGCGGCGGCGTGAAGCCCGGCGCCCTTCTCGCCCTCGCCGGCCGCGCCGCCCGCGACCTCGGGGGGCCGTCGAAGGCCTCCAGCGGGCCTTGGAGGCCGCCTGAAGGCCCGGAGCCGCCAGATAGAGGCGCGAGACAGATGGAGGCGAGGCGAGGGCGGGGAGGAGGACACGGGAGAAGGAGGAGGAGGACGAACAGAAGGACGTGGAGGAGGAGGAGGAGGAGGAGGAGGAGGAGGAGGAGGAGGAGGAGGAGGAAAAGGAGAAGGAGGTGGAGGAGGAGGAGGAGGAGGAGGAGGAGGAGGAGGGAGGAGGAGAACGAGGAAGGAGGGGAAGGAGGAGGAGGAGGAAGAAAAAGGAGGAGGAGGCGGAGGAGTGACGGGGGAGGAGCGGAGGAGGAAGAGGAGGAAGAAGCGGAGGAAGACGAGGAGGAGGAGGAGGAGAGAAGACAAGAAGAGGAGGGGAAGGGGGGGCGGCGAAGGCCCTTCACCTCCTCCTCCTCCTCCGCCTTTCCCTCCTCGTCCTCCTCTTTTTCTTACAATCAACACCACCACCACCATCATCATCATCACCACCACCACCACCACCGCCGCCGCCGCCGCCACCCACCACCACCCCAACACCACCACCCCACCACCACCACCCACACATCATCATCATCATCATCATCATCATCATCATCATCATCATCATCATCATCATCATCATCATCATAATCATCATAATCATCATCATCATCATCATCATCATCATCATCATCATCACCATCACCATCACCATCACCATCACCATCACCATCACCATCATCATCACCATCATCATCAGCATCACGATGATGATCATCATCATCACCATCATCATCAGCATCATCATCACCATCATCACCACGACCATCATCACCACGACCATCATCATCATCAGCATCATCATCATCATCGGCATCACCATCATTATCATCATCATCAACATCATCAGCACATCATCATCAGCATCATCATCAGCATCATCAGCATCGTCATCAGCATCGTCATCATCAGCGTCATCAACAGCATCATCATCATCATCATCACCACCGCAACCACAATCGTCATCATCATCGTCATCATCATCATCATCACCATCATCATCATCATCATCATCATCATCAGCATCATCATCATCATCATCATCACCATCATCATCATCATCGTCATCATCATCAACAGCATCATCAGCACCATCATCAGCAGCATCATCATTAGCGTTCTCTTCTTCGTCGTCGTCCTCATCTTCATCGTTTTCTTCTTTCTCGTCGTCCTCATCCTCCACCAATTCGTCGTCCTCCTCTTAATTTTTCTCGCCCCCCTCTCCTCCTCCTCCTTTTTCTCCTCCTCCTCCTCTTCTCCCCCCCTCTCCTCCTCCTCCTCCTCCTCCTCCTCCTCCTCCTCCTCTTCCTCCTCCTCCTCCTCCTCCACATGCCCCCCCCCTCATCATTTGCCCGCCCCTTCCTCGTCATCCCACGCGGCGCCGTCGAACGGCGATCCCGATCCACCGCGGCGCTGGCCGTCGCGAGAACGCGAGGGCCTCTGCCGCGGCGGCGCCGCTGCGCGCCGGCGGCGGCAGGTTCCGAAACGCGGGAGGAGGACCGCACTCCGATCATTACTGCTACAAGGACGACGCGGATTAGAGAAGGGCGAAAGGCCGGGCCCGAGAAAAACATGCTGTGCATCGTGCTCATGTTGTGCACCGCGTTGATCAATTCGACGGGCTGTCCTTCCTAATGTCGCCGGTCGTGCTGGCATTGCAGTCTTCGACACTAAATGACCACTCGTCGCTGGTGGGTGGCTTGTCCTCCTGCAGTCGTAGCAGTTGTGCGACGGGGCAAGGCATGGGTCGCAGGCCACAGGCATTCAGTCCTTGCGGGCCCCTAAATGGTTGCGGACGGACAGGACCGCCTCGACGGCTCCGAGAAGACCAGACGCGCGTCATGAAATGGGGTGCATTAGCCACTGGGCCGAACTCTCCTTACCTTCCGAAAGCTCGTTGGACCCAGGCCCTGGCTCGCCCATGAAGGCGGCCAGGTCCCCGGCTGTTTTCGAAGTTCGCGCCCAGAGGTGACTCGCGAGGGCGCGCCGAAACGTAGTCGACACTAAAACCGTTCGCGATCGCTCCCCGCAGACCCGCGGCGCCCACGTGGAACCCTGACGGGATTTCCGCCAAAAGAAAGCAGGCGCCAAACACGAGGGGCAGAACGCCCCCCCCCCGTCAAAAAAAAACAAACAACAGGGCCCCCAGGTTAAATTTGCCCCGGGGCCCCAACCAAGACAGGAGAGGAGGGAGATCATTTTTTTATTCCGGCCGGTAACGCTCGTTACCCGGGGGGGGGGGGGTCGTGCCCCCCGGGTAACGGTAACGCTTGGGCTGGGCGGGGTATGGCGAAGCAGGGGCGCTCTGCGATCGCCATAGTATGCGCGCGAGCAGCACTCTCTGCCTGAGAGCACCACAGTGGCTTGCGATTCGAGTACAAGCGCAAAGCCCGCCGCGTGGTCCCGGCACCACGCCCGCGCCCGCGCGCGCGACGACGATGATCGACGAGCGACGAGCGACGAGGTCGACGACGACGACGACGACGTTTGCCGCCTGTTTCGGCCTCCGGAGGCCGTTTTCGGGCGCCGTCGACGACGACGACGACGACGACGACGACGACGACGACGACGACGACGACGACGATTCGAGTACAAGCGCAAAGCCCGCAAGCACCAGCATCGCGCATGCGAGCGCCGCAATGGCCTGCGAGCGCCCACAGTGCGCCTGCGACCACCACACCACAGTGCGCATGCCTTCGGGCACCAGCATGTTGGAGGGGAAGACCGAGACCCCCCCCGCGCACGAGCGTTACCGTTACGGGGGGGGGGGGGGGGGAGAGGCCCGGGTAACGAGCGTTACCCCCCAGAGGATAAAAAAAAACAATCTCAGGGGCCAACACTCGGGGCCCAAAGCGACAACGGGCGCAAATTTTTCGGGCGACGGCGAGAGCAATGAAAGACGCCCCGCCCGGCGGCGGGGCGGCCACGCCCGAAGGCGGCTCTGAGCAGTTCGGCCGCGAGAACTGCGCGAGGTTCGAAGCGCGGCATTTCCTCCGCAGTCGGATCTTCCTCACCTACGGTAGTCGGCCCATGCGAAGCATGGGTGCGGGGGGAGGGCGCGCGTGGAAGCAACGCGGAAAAGAGGCCGCAATCAAAAAACACGATGGACAAAACAAAATTCCAAGGCGACTCCAGCCGCATAAGCAAGAGCGACGAGCGACGCGAAACGAGGCGACAGAGAGACCCAAGGGGAAACGCGCGACACCAAGAAAAGTCCAATGACGATGTCAAGGAGCTCGAAAGGTGCAGTACCAACCTCTTGAACAACGAGTTTCCACACTGCAGAATGCCGTCTTTCGGCCCCCGCGCCCTCCTTCCTAGGCATCAGGGCCAGCAGCGCCGGCCCCCGGCGGCGCCTCTTCAGGAGCGGGCGACGGAATGACCTGGCACAGGCTTCTGGAGTCTCGAGCGAGAGCCGGACACCAATGCAAGCAACGCGCCTGCGGAGCCTGCGACACCTGGAATGCATCGCGACGGATCTGCACGCAGCAAAGGACACATGCAACGCCTTGGGCCACGCACGCCGACTTACCGCGAACCAGGCACAAGCCCAAAACAACAATTTTAGTGCGCCACGAAAACACCAGGTGCTACTGCAGGCGCAGCGCGTCACGAACATCCGGGCGCGCCAGGACAACTTGAGCCGCCGCCGCGCTGGGTCGCCCCTCCGCAGTCACTAGGGCGACGGGTGGCCCCTGCGCGCCGGAGGACGACCTCGGCGGAAATGCCCCGGCGGTCTCTGCCCCGTCGCGCGCTTAAGCAACCTCGCGGGGCGCCGAACAGCAGACCCCCCCGTCGCGCGGGCGAGCGGCCTCGCGCGGCGCTCAACGACAGGGCGCTCCGTCGCGCGGGGAAGCGACCGCCTCCGCCCCCCCCCCCCCGGATGAAGGGCGGCGCGGGAAGGTCAACGGCAACCTCGAAGGCAATGGCCTTGCACGCGGCGCCGCGGGCCATCTGAAACGCCCTCGCCCTGAGTCGTTCGCAGCCGACCGTTCGCGACCGCGAGCCGGCTCCGGCGGCGGCGCTCTATCTCTGTCGTCTGGGGGCCACCTGATCGCCCCCCTCGGCGAACTGCCTCCGCGCGCGCCCTGTCTCGGGCTTGCAGGCGAATCCTCTCCGCACGCGGGGGCCGAGGTCGACTATTCTACGCTTCGGCACAGGGGCCAGCGCGACCGCCGACGGCGAGAATTCCGGGCGCCCCCTCTTCAGCGGGCCCGTCTCCGCCGTTGCGCGCGCGCAGAGGCGCGCTTGCCCCCGCTCTTGCAGCGCCGTCTGGCGATGCCAGCGCGCGGGCTTCTGCCCCTCCTCGCGCCCTGGACCACTTGCACTCTCCGCGAGGCTTGCGAGCGCTCGGCCTGCCAGTCGGCCCCGCCGCCTTCTTGCTGGGGCGCCCCGGGCGCAGCCGCGGGCAATCCCCTTAATGGCGCGAGCCTCTCTGGGCCCAGTCGCCACGCATTTCTTTGCTTGCGGGCGTGGCCGAGCGGCCTCTGTCTGCCGGCGCCGCCCCCCTGCGCGCCGTTTGCAAGCGCTGTCTCTCCTAGTCTGCGGCGCGCTTGTCGCAGATCCACTTGTGGCTGTCGCTTGGGTCGCGACTTTCCATCCCGCGGCATTCCCCCGCGTCGCATCGAAGGTCACCAAGGTCACCACGGCTTTCTGCACTCGCCCCGAACGAGGATTCAAGGATGGGCGACCCAGGCAAGGCTTCGCCCCCAAGAGCGCGCAGCCGCGGCCCCAATCAACCCGCCGAGGATTTTGCCTCGCGCGCTGGCAGCGTCGAGGCGACTGGATTTGCCACTGGGCCGAGCTCCCCTTATCTTCCAAAACTCGCCGGGCCCCGGCTCGCACGATAAGGCGGCCAAGCCCCCGCAAGGCGCTCGAGCTCGCGCCTGGCAGCGACTCGCGAGGGCGCGCCGAAACAATATTAAAACTAAAACAAGTGGCAATCGCCCCCCCCCCCCCCCCCCCGCGGCGACGACGGCGCGGTCGGGCGCCCCCCCGCCCCCCGCCCCATCGGCGCCGCCGCTCGGGCGCAAATTATAGCCGACGCCCCCCGCGCAAAGCAGCGGCAACCGCGGGGGCGGGGGGGGGGGGGAAGGGCCCAGACGGGCCCGCGCCCCCGTCCTCGCAGCGGCCGCCAGCGCCCATGTCTACGTCACTATCGCGTCGCGGGGCGCGTCGTCGGCGGGCCTCGCGAATAGGGCTGCGGCCCTGGTGGCAAAATCCTCCGTGATTGCATCGCCCTCGTCTGCGATGGCCCAGAGCGAATCCAAATCCTCCAGCGTTGGCTCGTTCTGCTCGTCGCTCTCGCCCTCCTCCTCGGGCGAATCCGTCTTGGGAGGCCAAGCTCGTTGCCCGCGTGTCGTAGCTCAGCCGTTGGTCCTCGCAGCTGCGGCGGTGGCCCTCCAAGCTCTGCTCGCTACCCATGTAATCCAACTGATTGCGCCAACACCTCCGCTCGCGCCCCGCCTAGCTCAACTCGCGTTCTTCGCGGTTCAGCCGGTGGCCATTTTGAGGTCAGCCGGTGTTCTCGTGGTCCTGTTCGCGGCCCTCGTAGCGCGGCTCGCGCTGTAAGTCCGCTCGCGGACCCCGTGGATCAGCTGGTGGCCCTCGTAGCTCAGTCGGTATCTCTTGGAGCTCTGCTCGCGGCGCTCGCAGCTCAACTTATAATCCTCGTAGCTCTGCATGTGGCCCTCGTAGCTGCGACGGTGGCCCTCGAGGCTCTACTCGTGGCCCAGGTAGGTTGGGCTGGTGGCGCCGGCAACGTTGCCAAACGCTCTCGCAGCTCTGCTAGTGTCCAGCCGGGCCCCTCGTAGCCCTGCCCGTGCCCCTCGAAGCTCGTCCCGCGGCCCTCGTATCTCAGCTCGCGGCCATTTAGCTCTCCCAGTGGCTTTCGTAGCTCAGCAAGTGGCCACGGTGGCACAGCTGGTCTCGTAGTTTGCCCGTGGCCCTCGAAGCTCTGCTCGTGATCCCCCCGGCACAGCAGGTGGCTTTCGAAGCTCAGCCAGCGGCCATCATGGCTCTGAATGCCGCCCAGAATTCGGAACGTGGCCTTCGGAGCTCTGGTAGTCTGTGAAGCTGCGCAAGGGGCCTACGTGGCTCTGCCCGTTGCCTTTGAAAGTCCTGCTAGTCACCCCTGCGGCTCTGAAGGCGCCTGTCGCCCTGCCGGCGGTTCCTGGAGCTCTGCTGGTGGCCTTGTGGCAACGCGCGTTGCCGTTGTAGTTCTGCATGTGGGCCCTGGTCGCCCAAAACTATGGCAGCCCAGCGCCTTCTCCCAAGTCCGCCTCCTCCTCGAGATGATCGCCCACTTAAATGCCAGGTGCCGAATACGGGAGAAGGGGGCCCAGCCGAAACCAACCCCGCCCTTCCACGCCTGGGGTGTCGACGCCCTGAAAACGGCCGTGGCTGTTATAGCCGTGGCCCAAGTGACGTCGTAGCCGCGTCAGCAACCGTGGCCGTAGCCCGGCAGTCCAGCGTAGCTTAAGTGGCCATGGTAGGCCATGGATGGCGGTGTAGTCCGGGGGCGCGTCTGAGCCATGGGAGTGTGCTCCTATGGTCGCGTATTTGGGGCGTTCGCAGTAATAAAGGCCGTACTCGCTGTCGCGGTCGTAGTTGCCGTGATTGCGGTTGCCACTGCCATGATGACCCCCGGAACCTGGCTGCTCATTCGGAAGCTGGACGCTTGATACGGAGCTCGTCGTATTTCCACATCCTTGGCGGAGTCGGGGTCGCCAGGTACATCGTCACACGTAGGCGGCAACGGTAACGATCATGTCCTCTAGATGCGGTTCGAGCCCATGTGTAACAGAGTACCCCATATGATTGAAAGCTGCCGCTGCTCGCAATCTCGGCATGGCGGCTGCTGGTAAGCCTCTGCCGATAATGAAATGAACTCATACCAAAGGCGGTTCGCGACGCTCGGCCTGTAGATCGGAAGGTTTAGGCTGCAAGGCTTGGCGAACAGCACGGTTGATATTCATTCAATAGATATTGAAACTCTGCCTGCGGGTATTGGTGTATCACTTCGCGGTGCTATGGCGCTGGTTCCCGCCAGCTAGGGTCAGCCCGCGGGGCGCGCCGCGAGGCGCGAAGGGCGAATGCGGGGAATGAGTCCCGCATATGGCCCTCTTCCTCCTCATCCTCCTCCTCACTCTTCGTTTTTTCCTCCTCTTCCTCCTTTTCCTCCCCCTCCTCCCCCTCGTCCTCCTCATCCTTCTCATCCTCCTCCTCCTCCGCTTCCTCCTCCAACTCCTCCTCCTCCTCCGTTTTTCTCTTCGTCCTGTTCCTTCTCCTCCTCCTCTCCTCCTCCTCCTCCTCCTCCTCCTCTTCCTCCTCCTCCTCCTCCTCTTCCTCCTCCTCCCCCTACTCCTCCTCCTCCTCCCCCCCCTCCTCCTCCTTTTCCTCCCCCTCCCCCTCTTGTTCCTCCTCGTCGTCCCTCCACCTCCTTCCCCCCTCCTCTTCATCCTCCTGAGGCAAAATGGGAAGGACGACGAGAAGCGAGCGAGGTGGACGCCGGAGGGAGGGCCGAGGAGCGAGGACGAAGGCCTGCTTGTCCGGCGGGCACGGGGTGCCCGCTCCAGGCCCAGCGCCCCCTGCCGCAGGGAGGCAAAATTCCAAGCACCGCGCTGGCTGCCCAACATCCCAGACTCGGCAAGGCCTCCCCATGTTCCTCCTCGTCCTCGCGTCCCGCCCCTCCTCCCCCTGCTCCTCCACCTTCTGCTTTTCCTCCTCGTCCTCCTCAACCTCCTCCTCAACCTCCTCCTCATCTGAATGTCTTTCCAGACATATATATATAATGAACTATTACACACATACATATATATAGACAGATCGACCGATCGATCTGCATATCGATCGATCGATGTGTAACTACATGTGTAAATACAGATACACCAATATAATTACACTCGCAACTCATTTTCATATGCGTAACCATATATTCGGTATGTGTATATCTGTCTATACATTTATTAACTAGATACTAGAACCACGTGCGCTACACAAGCTTAGGTTCTAGTCGCAGATGAGGCACGGGTGCCGCTGTAAGCCCCGATGTGATCACAACGAGGATTTCCTGCGTTCTCGGGCCCATGCCACCGACGCAAAGAAACGCGTACGTAGTCAGAACGCTCTTACTCTGCCGGGGCCGCCCTGGAGGGGTGGGAGGGGGAACGCAACTTGCGCTATGGCGGGGCCGTCCCAGGAGAAGAGGAAGGAGCACGAAAGCTGAGGGGTGAGAGGAGGAAGAGGAGAGAGGAGGGAATGGAGGCAAAGGGAGGGGGCGGGAGGGAAGGCGGGACGGAGGGGGGAGGCCCAGGCCATCTGGGCCGTTTTGGAGCGTTCTGGGGCCTCCCGCTCCCGCTCTGTGGCCCAGCTTGTGCCTGTCCTGGGGTTCTCTTGGGCCGTCTGGGGCTCCTCCTGAACTATTGTCGGGTTCCTTGGGGCCGTCTTGGGGCTCTTTTGGGTGCCTCTGCGGCGGTTTCGGGGCGGTCTTGGGGGCGTCTGCGGCCGTCTTCGAGCATTGGAAGCTCGAGAACGCGAGAAAGCATAAAGCATCGATCAAACCAATCCAAATCAATGATTTGGGCCGCTTTGGGCTCTCTCGGGACGTCTCTCGGAGCTCTCTTGGGCCCTCTTGGAGGCCTCTTGGACTGTGACTGTGTGTTTGCCGTCTTGAGCTCCTCCTGGGCCACGTTGGAATCACCTCGGCCGTCCTGGAGCGCCCTGGGGCCTCCCGCTCTCCCTCTGGGGCCCATCTTGTGGGTCTCCTGGGATTATATTGGGCAGTGTTGGGCTGATCGTGGCCAGTCTGGCCACCCCCTGGCCAGGAAACTGCGACGAATCCAACAGTCTGCACGAGAGACCCCCAAGCGCCCCAACAAGACAAAACCAATGAATGGCACAGGTACAGCCAGACCTACAGAACAACATCCTTCAAGAACGTGAGACCTTCCGTCGGCCAAACTGAAAAAACATTCGAGGTTACCCTCCCCCAGGATGCACGAACATTAGGGTACCCTCCCCGAACCGACCTCGACCTCATACGTCGGTCCGACCGTACTGGTACCCGAGATCCAACCAACATGTGTCAATCACGGCCAAATTCTGATCCACATCAAGTTTGAGGATGCTGGGGCCAGAGAGAAGGGCAGAGAGAAGGTTCTGGATGCAGAATCAACTCCCTTTCCTTTCTTCCACGATGTCGCGAGTTGACTGCATCGGTGTCGGTGTGTCTTTGTTTGTCCTCGACGGGATGCCCTCAAAATTTATCACTGGCACTTCTCGGGGTCCGCACTGACCAATTTCTCGAACTGCGCGCAGCCGCGACGCCGAGAACATCCACAAAAGCAAACCAAACAACATGATCGACGACGACGACGGCCTCGCGGCGAGATCGTCGCCCCTGGGGCCTGCGTCGGGCGACGGGTGCACAGCGCACGGCGGGCAAGCGGCCGCCGTCGTCGAGGACCCCGCCTGCTGGGTGGGCGCCCTCCTCGCCTTCCTCCTCGTCCACCTCCCTCCTCCAACTTCCTCCACCTTCCGCCCCCCAGGGGGGGGCACAGTGGAACACGCGAAAGCTGCCAGTGCCCGCCACGTCCCCACCCCAGCGGAAGGGGGATCGTGGAAAGCCACGGGAGGTGGAGGGGGTAGGGTGGGAGCGAGGAGGGACGAGGACCAGAAGGGACGACGAGGAGGGACCAGGAGAGCCACGGGGGGAAAGGGCAGGGGGTGGGAGCGAGGAGGGACGGGACGAGGACCAGGAGGGACGACGAGGAGGGACCAGGAAACCACGGGGGAGGGGGGATCCTCCCCCTCCTCCTCCTCCTCCTCCTCCTCCGCCTCCTCCGTCTCCTCCTCCTCCTCCTCCTATTCTCCTCCTCCTCCTCCTCCTCCTCCTGCTTCTCCTCCTCCTCCTCCTCCTCCTCCTCCTCCTCCTCCTCCTCCTGACATTCCTTTTCCTCCTCCTCTTCTTCCTCCTCTTCCTTTTCCTCTTCTCCCGTCCCCTCCCCATTCTCCTCTGATGGGGGGGAGGACGAGCGACCACGAGCGAGCGAACCACGAACGACCACGAACGAGCGATCCAGCTCTCTGCTCCGCTCTACTTCTGAACTCGACGACTGTGGGGCGACTGTGGGGCCGCCACTGGGAGAGCCATGAGGAGCCATTGAAATATGAGAAGAAGACGTGCAGATACAGAGGACGTCAGGCCAGGGGCACGGGGGTTGGATCGGGGGGCACGCGGGCAGGCCAGGGGCACCGGGGGGGGTCGGCGGGCAGGCTGGCGTAGCCTTGGAGGTGAGGTTGGAAAGCTAATTCTTGACCCTCTAGAATTATGGGAAGCGCCGTCTCGCCGCGCGGGGCCGCGCGCCACGCCGCCCGAACCCGCCCCGCTCGATCCTCCAGGCCCGTCTTGAGATCCGGCCCTGGGAAGCCCATTCGACGCGGCAGGGCTGGATACCGAGCACTCACCACAAAATCACTGCATCACTCTGAACTGACCATCCAGAGATCACATGATCATGGGACGCATTCGAAGGTGTACGACAGCTTCGAGATACACCACGAGCCGAAGACACCTGGGATGCCATCAAGGTCGGTCAACTACCACCACATGAACACGTAGTTATAGGATACCGGGATGCCAACTATTACGTACGACACCTTTGACAACATCGTGTTTGAATAAGGGCATCCGGGAAAAAAAAAAAAAAAAAAAAAAAAAAAAAAAAAAACATTTGACGCGCGTGGTCCGGGGCAGACCATTGAACCGCCTCGCCCGGGCGACCGCCGGCAGCCTCGCCGCGCGCGCCCGCCCCACTCGGCCCGCGGAGGCCATCGGCATGTGCGTTCGGTTAATCGGTTTTGGCGGGCAGGCCCGTCTGTTTCGGCAATGTCATACGTTTCGTAGCAGGAGCACTCGGCGGATGACATCAGGTCGCACAAGTGCATCCCAACAAGATAGGGGCCGTCGGGGCTGGTCGCGGAACGGACCATGCACTCGGAGGCGGCGGAGGCGAGGCTGGCTTGGCCGCGAGAAACTTCGGCGGCCATGGCGTCCCACTTCTACCCAATCCCTTCGGACGTCGGGCTCTTCTACCGCCACGTCGAGCGGGTCGTCGCCTGGCGCCCGCGGGGGAACTGCCAGACCAAATGGCGCCAGCGCCTGCCGACGAGCGGCGGCCGCGTCGCAATCCACGGGCTGGCAAGTGGCCAGCTGGCTTCTCACTGGGCGCTCTCTCGGAGGATCGTCGCGCGGCCGTCTCTGCCGTCTGGCTGTCGGGGCTGGTCGTTTTCTCCGGTTGTCTCGGGCGGCCGGGGCATCGTGGAAGCTGCGATCCCTCCGCGGAGGGCTGCCTCCATTTTCAGCTTTACCCTGTCCGACATGCTGGGTCCGAGACGGCGCCAATCTCGACGACATGGCAGGGCGCCCTCGGGGGCTGCGCCGCGCAGTGGATGATGCACGGGGCTGCTTTCTTTTTGGCGCATGGGAAACCGCTGTCTGGGGCGCCAGCCACGGCGGCGACGCCCATCGCCGCGGGCCATCCAGATGGCGCAAGGTCACGCGGCACAACCTTCATAAGGACAAGTGAATCTATTGACACAATTTGTTATTGATGCGTTCCCGAGGTCCCGGGATTTCTAAGAGCCTTCGCGCGGGGTGCACTTAACGTCGAACGTTGTCTACTCTGCCTGGCGCCGCTGGTCGGTCACCCATTCGCCTTCGAATAGTCGCCCAGAAGGGGGCTATTCGGCACTTGCTGATCCCCCTTCTCGTTGCAGAGCGCGGGCGGGGACGGCGGCGCACCGCCCCGTCGCCCGCCGCCGCGCATTGCGCGCCTCGGCGGATTGTCAAACACCAGGCATGGCAATTCACGCGCGACTCTAGAAATTTTCCGATTTGTGGAAAAAGCTCCAATGACGTTTTTGAACATGCTTGGCCTACCCTTCGGAAAGAAAAAAAAACCTGGAATCGATTTTGAAAAATGCCGGAGTCGATTCTGACAACTTCCAGAATCCATTTGGGGGACAAATCCGAAATTCAGAATTGGTGAGATATCCTGCGCGGCGGGCGCATTTCACCCCTCAAAACTGCCTCTTGAAAATCCCCGGGCTCCTTGAACAAATCCAAGGCAACGTCTGCCAAAAACGGCCGCGCTGTCTTCAAACACTCTACAATCCGGGAACAAATCCGGGCGGCCTGACGGGCGCGACCAACTGATTCACGCACCGCGCCGCGCGCGACTGGGCGCGGCGCGCGCCGCGCCCTGCGCCCGCGAACAGCACTCGAAGTGGCCGCCTCGAAAATCGCGCCGCGGCAGCTGTGACTCGCAGACCCCCCAAGAGCATAAAATAAAGCAGCTTGGAATCTCCGAGGGAACTCCGACGCGCGAAAATGCGCCGCGCACATCGCGCAAAGAACCTGCGCGACGGGACGCGCTCGACCATTCGTCCCTGGGGCCCGCGCGGACGGGCGGGAAAACCTGGAACTTTTGAAAGCTATCGATGTCAATGCTTCATGCTCCTCTGATTCATGTCTCCCGCGAGTACCCAGGGGCGGCTCGTCCTCCTCAGGGCTCCGGCGACGCCGCCGGGATGTTGAGCGCCCAGTCCCGATTAGACCGGCCCCCCTGGTCCAGGTACGCATTGATGAGAATAACACTGTGTCGACGCGTGCGCCACATCGCGGCGATCCAATCGCGTTTGGCAAATATGCCTTCCTGGTCGCTGGCCCCGCAACTGGTTTCACTGTTATTTCCGCGTGCTTCCTCGCAGAGACCTGCGATGCACCCGTCGTCAGCTCATTCTATACCTTCTCACTGGACGGGGGCACTGTCGGGGTCGCTGGCGATGGCGTTGCCGTCGGCGCGCTCGGCGGGGCTTCTCCCGCTGCTGGCTCGCCCCCGCTGCCTCCCAATGTTGTTGTGAGACGTTCGGCGCATTGTCTGCAACGCTTAAAACGCGCTTTGATTTCCTCTGTTCTCGAGCGAAAGATGCCCGTACCCTTACTTACACAGGGTGGCAAGGGGACCGGGGGGGCGGTTCGTCGCAGCTGACGGCGGCTGCACAAGTGTAGAAAAGACAGCCGATCGAGCATTGCAGACCGCTGTCTTCTCGGGGCGCACGTTCGCACCGACCGCGCGCGCGTTCGAGTCGGCGGAGTGCCAGCCCCTGCGCTGGTTGTTGTCGATGTAGACCAGCCACTGCGGAGGCGCGCCCCCGGACACACATCCGGGCGTTGAGGAGTCAACGCGCACTCGGGGGCGCATGCGAACAACTCTGGCGCGAACGTCATTGCGCGACAACCGCCATATCGCGAATTGCTCGATGCAGAGGCATCGCGAATCTGTGCCCTGGGCGAGGTCGCCCGAAGCCGCCCCCCTTGGACGGCCGTCTGCGGATCACCCCAGCTAGGTACGGTTGCCCCATGAAAACCAAAAACATACCCGTACCGAGCCTGGGTGCCGCAGCTCCCCTCCAGCCAGGTCTGGGTGTGTTTCGGTGGTTTCAGGCAGGTCCCCGCGCCTAGCCGAGGTGGAAGCAAGCCCAAAACGCTCTCGAGCACATATCATGCCCTCCAGAGCCGTCCCCGACATGGCCGCTGCGGCCCCCTGGGGGCGCGACATTGCAACGTCGTTCCTCAAGGCAGGCCCAGACGCATTGGTTGCCCGGGTAGCGGCGAAATTAAACTCTTCATCGATTGGGACAGGCGCCACTACATATGGGCGGCTTTGAGCCGCGCGCGCACCACGATGCCCCGAGACGTCCCTAACAAAAACCAGCGCTTGTCGCTGCAATCAGACACCCAACCATCGAGCGCGCCGCTGCGTCTTGACGCGCGGATGCTGCACTGGCGCGCGCGGGGGAAGCTGACCGGGCACAATAGCAAGCGCCCAGTCCCCCGGACGGCCCATCCCACCTTGGCTGGCCCCGGGTACGGGTATCCGGACCAATGGTCTGTATTTCTCCCGCGCTTTTGCAAGGAAATGGTGGCACCGTTGAGTTCCTCGAAAACGCGGATCTCGCCGCGTTCTGCGGCTTCGGGCTCGTAGTGGTCCACGTTCAAGAAAAATGGCTCGCCCCGCATGACTATCCACTGTGCCGCCAGCGAAAATTTCTTCTCCGCCTCGACGCATCGGCCTGCTTCCTTCGACATGTCCTTGGTGGCCTCCTGTCTCTCTTATCCGATCTTGAATGGATAATTCCATACTCGAGATTTTGACTTTCCGCGTTCAGAAACAAGGAAATCAGTCTGGTGACTGTACTGGTGGATTGGTCGCGGCGCGTGCGCGTGCTTTTTTTCCAGGCGAATATTGCTTCTTCGGCTGCGCACTCTACCGAGACTGCCACAACAGACGAGGCTGCCTTGTCCAGCTTCTCCGTCTGTCCATGCAAAGCCAGTTTCATAGAGGCTTCCTGCTCGTTGGCCGCCATGCTGAAGAACACGAGCTTGAAATGAGCCACCTCGGGCTTAG